CCTAGCCCTTATCCCTGCCCCCATCCCTGCTCCAGTTTCCTCTCTGACCTCCTGGCATCCAGTCTCAGCCCCCTCCCTTCCAAATCCTCTCCAAGGAACTTTCTAGAATCCATATCTGTCCCTGTCATTCCCCGCTCAGACGCCTTCTATGGCTCCTGAACACGCCCCAGTTCCTCACGGAGGCTGCAGGACCCATCCCTCCTCCTCGGCTCTGGCCCAGGGCCTGGAGCCCACAGGAGCCCTGACAGACAGGTGCTAACTGCCGACATGAGCTGAGCCTGGCCAGGACCTGCAGCAGCTTGGACCTGGTTCAAGCCGGGCTGGCGCTCAGCCCCCAGCGCCAGTGGTGGCCAGAGGGCTGGAGGTGACTCTCCTCCATGTGCCAGGCCTGGTGAGCACCTAATAAACCAGCCCACGCCTGCCCCGTGTTGTCCTGGGAGGAGAAAAGATGTGACTATAGCATCGGTTCTCAACCTGTGGGTCGCGACCCCTTTGGCGGTCGAACGACCCTTTCACAGGGGTCGCCTAAGACCATCCTGCATATCAGATGTTTACATTACGATTCATAACAGTAGCAACATTACAGTGATGAAGTAGCAACGAAAATAATTCTATGGTTGTGTCACAACATGAGGAACTATCCAAAGGGCCAGAAGGTTGAGAACCACTGGACGATAGGGAGAAGGGAATGGCATTTGGAGCACCTTCAGTGCTAGGTGGCTCGACACATTCCCATTCATTCATTCACTAACTTCACTGCAGACAGATGCCCCTCTCATCACCCATCCTTCAAACATTCCCCCAACACTTCCTTGGTGACCAAGACAACCAGGGCCCTGCCCTTCAAGGGCTCACAGTCCAGAGAGAGAGACACACCTGTCCCCAGTGACAGCTCAAAGTGGGTGAGATGACTGGGAGGGAGGTGGGGCCAGGGAGAGCCAGGGGGCATCTAATTCAGTCTGGGTATCAGGGAGGACTTCCTGGAGGAGGAGGCAGCTGAGCTGAGAGCTGGAGGAAGAGGAGCAGGAAAATCAGATCAAGGCTGTACCCTTGCAGCCCAACATTTCTCTTCATCAGAACCTTGTAATCACTCCTTAAAGCCTTCCCTGCACTCTCCCTTCCTCTTCATCTGGGGGCTCTACTTATGTCCATCCCTGACCCCCCGGGCCTCGCCCTCAGACCCTTCCCGGCCCAAGCTGGCTCCAAGTCTTTCCTTCCTCATTTTCTACGCCTGCCCAGGCTTTCCCCGCCCGGCCCATTCTGATACCCACGCCCCGCCCCTG